CCCCGGGTGGCATGCACACAAAGAACCATTCTGAAAACGTACTTAAGCCATTGTTTTTATGTGTCCCCATAAAGGTCCCCATTAAATGATTATGAGGTACCTTCAAATCTTTATGTAGTTCTGAACCCCAAGAGTTCTGCACACAATGAGATGGCCAGAGCTTCTGTTTCAACACTATTGGTTTTGAGTAGATTACTGTATCATATATCTTTGCATCTTCAGCCGATACAGGACTAGATGGATCCAGTGGATACAGAGACACATTGTCAATAAATGAGCAATGGTCAGGCAGGTGCCAATCTAATGTATAGACTACTAAATCGAAGCGTTCCTGTTTAAGGATGTCGTTAATGATGGGAACGACCTCATAGCCATCTTGTCCTGCTGGACAGTTCTTGAGTGCTAAACTACCAGTAATGAAGTCATTTTGTATGTCTACCACAATAAGAGCTGTTTTTCTAGTGCCATCCTATATCAAATAAAATACTATTAGAGACCCATGTATTTTTGTACACTGTAGCTTAAAAAATATTGAATGCAAATTCAGTTACAAGTTTTGTGTAAATGTTTTCTAAACTCCTGACAGTACTGACACACGGTGCAGCATTGCACACAACATTGCAAGCAGCAAATTTTAATTGGGGTGACACACATTGCAACAAAATCAATGTTACATGCTTGCGTCAGTCTGCTATGTTAAGATATTTGGTCAGCAGTTATAAATTTTATGCAAGCTGATTGGCTGGAAATTTCAAAATGTTGCAGGTAATGTTGCAGCAATGTTCACATGATGAAATTTGTTGCACTCAATGTTGTAAGAGTAGAGCGCAATTCAATTTCAGATTTGTTGCATGCAACGTTGCGTGCAATAAGTTTGGGGTAGACACACACAAGCAGCCTTTCTATGCATGAGTTTAGCACAGGCCAGTCATTGTAATGGCATCATTCTAATGTTTTGATGCTCTAAATATAAAGAACACCCATTTTCACTTCTTTACGGCAAAATTTCTCAGAAACCAATTCAAAATTTTTTGTACCTTCCTCAGCCAGAATTCCCAGCATGCAATAAAGACATCCATGTCAAATGCGTGGCCTTCCTGCAATGAAAATAGTACTGTCATAAACTAGTAGAGTTTAAATAAATAAATTATAAATTGTAAATATACTTATAAAAATCCAATCATTTTCTCGGGAAATAGGGATTAAGAATATTTTATTTCATTCTTACCAAACTTCGTCGTAGCTGGTCCAGTATCTGGTCAACTTGGTCTTCTTGTAAGGCGAACCATGAGGTGATACCAGAGAAAATATCCTGGATAAAAACCACCAAATTCTCTCTAGATAAATCTGTTTCTGAAAAGAAAAAACCACAAGTTAAATAGTTAGATAAGACTATAGTTTCTTCTTCTGTAAGAGTATTGTTTGAGAAATTTTCAATAAACTTACGAAGTGAACAGGTTTTGGCGAGTTGTCGAACACGGATACGCAGTTCCTCAAGTTGTTTGTCGTTTTGACCTCGAATTTTATCAAAAAAATGAGAAATCTTTTGCAAAGACATGCTAAGTATGGATTGAGTTTATCAGCAGTTGAAAATTCGATCAAAAATTCCCAGATAAAATATAATTCTTGGTTCTGCAAAACCCTGTACCCACAAGCAGCAGACAAGAAAGCAAACTGACAAAACCAAACAATCTCGTTCCTAGGGCCTTCGTCTCAATGTGGATATGTGGATAGGGCCCTGTGAACTAGGTCAAACTATATAACCACAGGGAGCCCGACATTGACGTCCACGTGGAGAGGGAGTAGACACACAGGCTATCAGACAAAAGCATCGTATCCTGTGTATCATACAATTTTTTTATTTCATTTTTTGCTTGACTGGCTTGTTCCCAACACTGTTCAAGTAATTTTTTTGATGGTTCACTAAAAAGACAAAATTTCCTAGAAAAAAAGCGCAAGCTGAAAGATCTGTATGGTGGCCCATTGAAGCCATAGTGTTATTCTAGACATTGTTATAAATTTTTCCTTTTTTTCCTTTATTTTTTCTTTTTCTCTTTGTTTTTTCTATTTGTAAATTTTCTTTCTTTCTTTTTTTTTCTTCAAGTGTTTTTTTCTCTTTTTTTTTCAAAAAATATCTTTTTTTTTTTTCCAGTTTCATTAAAATATTTTTGGTTATTTTCGTTTTCAATTCTTTTATTCATTATTGTCATTATTATTTTCTTTTGTTTTCTTTTGTTTTCTATTTTATTTCCCCAAATTTTCTCTCTCTCTCTCTCTCTCTCTTTTTTTATTTTATTTATTTATTTATTTATTTTTTGATTTTTTTAGATATCTGTGTAAGACACGTTCCTATCAGGTGAAAGACACTCGACATTTAAAACTTTGTAAAGCTTTAAAAATGACTTGTATGAATACGTCGTGGTAATGAAATGAATATGCGATCCTACAGATAAGATGATCGCTTCTGTCCAAGATCGAGAACTAGAAGTGGTATGCCAGTACGAAATCGAAGGCCAATTTGGACTGTCAAATCATCAAATGTTGGAACTGTTGGAAATGTTGGAACAAATATGCCACTTGTAACTGCGCTTCAAGGCAGACTCACAGGAGATTACTTTGGTTTCAAAAAAAGTTGAAGAAGTTAGATCTGATATGCAGTAATTCGTAATGATATCGAGGCGGGATGTCAACGCATGTTTACTATCCAGTTGAATATGTAATCCAAAAGGTCCTTTCACTGGATGTGAACTCCATTAGACCATGACTATTTCACATCCATTGAAAGGACCTTTTTCATAATCTAAAAGGTCCTTTCACTGGATGTGAACTCCATTAGACCATGACTATTTCACATCCAGGGAAAAGACCGTTTTCTCAAGGTTGCGTGCGCATCCAAATTTAAGGGACTTGACGGGCCACGATACCAGAACTAGTCTCCCTCGCATCCGTTTTTAGTGTCGGTCGTCACGCAACGCTCTCTCGAGCGTTGCGTGACGACCGACACTAAAAACGGATGCGAGGGAGACTACACCAGAACAGGAGCTTTATAATGAGAATTATCATACATTTCTATTACATTTTCAATAAAAAAATTATCGAATCGATTATTCTCCTCTTTAAATATAAGACTGGCTTCTCAATTTTACTGATTTGCGTTTTTCAGTTTTGTGGCCCGTCAAATTGGACGCGCACGCACCTTAAGAAAACGGCGGTCTATTTTACGAGCGCTGGCCACAATACTAACCAAAAGAATTAAATAATACTAATAATTTTGTCGGTTTACTTTTTGTTTGAGCCAATTGTCAGTTAACTACTGACCCCATTGGGACCCTCCTAAGTGCGGGGGTTTTATTTTTTCATTCCCTCTTCCCCCTCCCCGCAAAGTGTTACGACAAAACTTAAAAAATTAGCTAAGGGAGCTAGCCCAAAAGCCCACTTTATTACGAGGACATAGTGGAGTGGAGTGGACTCACAGACTACTCATAGACAAGAAAAAACAAGTTTTTACGATATTCAACTCTCTAGGCTCAAAACGTTTTAACAATGACAATAAATAAATTGATTGTATTGCCATTAACGCAGGTTCGGTTGACGCGTACACCTTGACAAGAAAAAAAACATGTTATGTTTTGGGACTGATAACTGCAGTACCTAAAACGGAGTCTAAAGTCTACCAGTGATCAGTTCCTTCAGAAAAGATACTGAGTTCTGCTTCTGCTATAATGTCCAGTATGTTCTTGTTCCGCAGGTTTGTCTGGATCAGTTTGAATGCATTGTTTCTTTATGGAATAGGTAAGTATATATCAAAGTTGAGCAGAAGTAAAAGAATTGTAGGTCCGAGATACCCAAGTGTTTGATTATATATAAAGCAGTTATTTAGCAATTGATTTCTTGCTCTATCAAATTAAAAAAGAAACAACAACAGTGGCACCAAATTCCACAAACCGTTTTGTAAAAAAACCTCAACATATCAGAGATCATTTGATTAGGGTCACTAGAGTCTGGAACATATTACCACAGGAATTACGTCAGCTAACACTACCACTATCTTTCTTTAAAAGACACATTTTCCAGTACTGCATCTCAGCCCTTCTTCTGTGCTCATACAACCCAGACGATCCTCGCTCATGGAAATCAATTTGTTTTAAAAACGTAATTTTGCTCGTTATCTCCTTAGTCCTTTAACGTGCTGCTCCTAAATGTATTGATCATGACAAGACACTGACTTTTATTATTTTGATAAGGGTCCGCAGTAATTGGCATTAGCTGTTGCGGTTTCCCTGCAAGAAATAAAGTTATTCCATTTTTCCGATTTCATTTATCTTTTCACTTTTATCTAATTTGAGCTCCCTGTGGTTGGATTTAACTAAAACGATCTACCTTCAACTTTTCTTGAATCCCAATAAGTGTTGTTTTTTTTTTAACATCGGCAAAATATCTCTTTTTAAGGGGTACAAGCTTACTGCGTCAGTGATTGGGTGAAAATGAACGATCACAACATTTGTTTCCAAGGCAGCGGTGACCACTTCGGTTCTTTCCGGAACTACGTAAGATCTGGTTTGGTAGCAGCGATCAAACTAGAGCACGTGTCTGGCCACATCGCATGCGCTACCGGTCAAGCCTACAATAGTTACTGGGGATGTGCAAACCATAAGGGTTTAGCCCCAAACCCTTTTAATGCCGTAGTGACCGATCAACACAACCAAGTCATCTTTCCAAAGACAAACCAGATTGGGTAATATTATGTAGACAAATAATTCAGCCTAATATGAAAAGCTGAGCACTACTATATGCGACCGGATTTTATATATCTTGCAGATATGCTCCTTCTATCTGGTATCGAGTTCCCTTCGCTGACACAACCTCTTCCAAAGAAATCGTCTTCACCGACTTTGCCCAGCCTTTCTACTTCCCCAAGTACAAGCAGATGAGAATTTGGTACGGAGAGGATCTGAAGGGCATCACTGAATCAGACAACCATGGTCGTGTGTGTGTGAATGTGTATGCCAAGTTTATGTTATAAGTAAGGAAGAGGTTACATCATGTTGGCTAATAAAATCAATAATTAAAATATACCGCATACAACAGCTATAAATGAATTGTATACATACGTACATTACTTACTCTACGCTTCCATCAAGAAATATAGGCAATAATTAAAAAATTAGTTGAGAACTGTTGATAAAAATTTGCAACCTAAATCAGGGTCCGGAAGGGTTTATTTGCGCGGGAACCGAGAAACGGATAAATTGATTCCTGTCTACTTGAATGTTTTCCCATGTCTCCGAAAGGACAAAGCTGACTGAATTGTCCTTCTAGATGGTATTAATGATATCCTACCGGTTGAAAGGAAAAAGCTTACTCTCACAAATGAATTTGTCCTTCTAGAAAAAGCTAAAGGATCAAGTCGAACAGATCCTAGCTCCCCTCCCCCTCTTCCCCAGTCCCCCTCCCCTCCCCTTTTCCCCTCCCCAGTCCCCTCTCCCTCTCCCTTCTCCTCTCGCCCAAAATTCCCTACCAGAGGGCCGCTACGCAGGCTAAACAGATTCAAAGGAGAGCAACCAAGATCATCTTACCAATTTTCTCATATAATGAACGTTTGCATGAGCTTGGTCTTGTTACTCTTAATGAACGTAGGGAATTACTCACACGTAAATTTTATGCTTCTATTTTTTTTCTAACTCAGATCGTATTCAGGACCTGTTACCAAATATTTTTCATCATAGGTATGCTTTAAGATRCCCTAGGTCTATTCCACTGATGAAATGCAATACCAAACGTTTTCAAAATAGCTTTTTACCTTATTGTATTAGGACTTGGGACGCTGATCCTTAAATTTTTAATAGATTTTATCATATATAGTGCATTTATTTCTTTATATATATTTTCATTTTTATATATTTGTATGTCCTTATATGTATATATTTATTTCGTGTAAACTTAAGATTTTCAATTTCATATTGCCAATTAAGTATTAATAAATATTATATTATCTTGTCATAGATGGTATTAACCTATGATATCCAACCGAGTTGAAAAAACAAAGCTTACTCTTACGAAATGAATTGCACCTAGATGCATGGTATTAACCTATGTCACAATTGTATAAAACGAGACTGAACCACTCAACTATCTTTTTCTTGACTAAAGTCGAACGCAGCTTCTGGCTTCAAGTCCAATTTGTCTTTTTCACCTCAAATTTCATCTTCAGAGTAATCGAATATGGAAGTGAACCGAAGAGAAAGTGGCCGACTTGAAGTAAGTTCACAGTCTTGAAAATTCGACTATTACAATTGTGTAAATTAAGAAAAAAGAAGAAGAAGAAGA